ACACACACAGGACCAGTCAAATCGTCTGCAATCTCATACACAATTAAAAAAAAATATTAAAAATCCTTTATTTTTCTTGGAGTGTTTTGCATTTGTTACTGTCAAGTTAGTTATATAAATCCCAGAAAGTTAGAATTTTTCAAGAAACATGTAAACAAAACCGTTATTTTAAAATTGATGCATGTTTTGAGGCAGATTAAAAAGTGTCTATTCTTGGTAAATAAGAGATATCTTGATCTACATTTTTAAAGCACCTTAGTGATTTAGGAGCCTCAGCCCAAACAACTTAAATTTAGATTTGGGCTCCTTAAAGTCTGAATCACTTCTGCAAGTTACTTAAGCACTTTGAAAGATTTTGCCATGTCTCTCATCTTGCAGATGCTGATTAGCTTTTCCTTAGCCCGCAGCTAGCTCTGAATTCATGAAAGCACTAAAGAAAGTCTCTTTAATGTATTTCAGTCACCAGCTCCAATTTCTTGGATCCCCCACAGTCCAGTTTATGATATCTAAGAGAAATTTCTCCAAGGAACTTAGACGTTCTGTGACACCACTTTGCACGTTCTTTTCTTCATACACAAAACAGCATCTGGCCACCAAGTTTTGGACAGGAATATGACCAGTTTTATAGGCTCGATCTGAATAACTGTTAGCGTCAGAGATCGGGTTATTTGTTCAACCTGTTAAGACCAAGAAAAACAAACCTACAAGCACACCTAGCGCAGCATTAGGTATAAAGTAGTAACATTTTTGGCACCGTACATTTTTAAATCTAAGCTGTTAGGCCCAAGGTGTAGCAAGTTACACAGTACCAACTGGGAAATTCTCATCTGAAATGGAAAGCTTCTAACAGAAAAGCTACTTTAAAAGCCATTAGCTGGGCCGCACAGTAAGTCAAATAAAGTATAAGCTTGAATTTAGCCTAAATATCCATACCAAATGTTTACACATAGACCTTAACATTCATACAATACAAGTATATTGCACTAACAGAACTGCCAGCATCTGTATGAACACATACAGTCCGGCGTAAAGTGTGACGTCTTCATTGTGCTCTTCATGTAACATTTTAGTGTCCCGGCTAAGCAATTCTGTCATGGTTTTTATTTTTTCCCCCCTTTTTTATTATTTTTAATTTAGTTGGAAGTGGTTACTTCACCTCGGGCCACAACAGTTTGCTCTGCACCTCTATTGTAAGCATTATCCTGATGTCAAATGTGCCTCGTAGCTCTGCAAAGCCGAGTTCCCGGCTCTGTGAGCGATTCCCGCACCCCGGAGAAATCACTGGCTCCATCCTCAGGAAGTGCGCGGGGCAGCCATGGTCCATATTCCTGCCACCAGGTGTCCCACTCCACTCACCAAAACGCATCGCGTCAGCAATTCCAATGAAATCCACCTCGGAGGGCAGACCCCGAGGCACAAGGGACTCGCGAAGCTCCGGTAAAAGCCCCGCAGCCGCGGGGTCCTGCGCCGAGCGAGCGGCACAACTCGCTGTCCTGCTCCCTGCCACGCTGCTCGCCCCGGCAGCGACCTACAGGAGGCTGCAGTTGCTGAAGGGACTTCGGCTCTTCTTGGTCCTCTGCCTGTTCGGCTTGAGGTTGACGACATCGCCGCCGTTGACGGTGCTACAATTCTGGCTGCAGTGACTTCCGAGGGCCGCGTTAAACACACCTGCAGGGTTTAAAGGAAAACGCTTCCGTTTCCTCACGCCCTGCAGCACAGCACGCTACAGCCACGGCCCAGCAGGGCAAAGGCAAACTCCAACTCCTGGAGGTTTTCTCTCTCCTCGTGGTTGCTCACTCGCCTCAGCGTGAAGGGAGGCAGCTGAGGGGCAGCACCCACACACCCTCCACCTGGGGCAGCCACGGCACCCTCCCCAAACCACACTGCAACAGAGCAGGACAGCTCCAAGGTCAGAACCTTGCTGAGGAGAGCTCAAGGGAGAAGGCTGCACAGGCAGCAACGACCCAAGGAAAACAAACCAACTGCCTTCAGCGTGCTGTAGGGAAGAGCTACAACAGGCCAGCGTTCCCTCGCAAGAGGCAGAGCTTACAGAGCCCTGACTGCGTGCCAGACGTTTTCCCAGAGTAAACCTGCACCAAGATCAGTAACACTAATACTAATCATTTTTTTAAAAAAAAAAAAAAAACAAGCATCCTATCTCAAGTGCTTACACAATGCTTGGTTAAAAGAACTTAAAAATTGCCAAATCAATATATTGAGCTTTCTAATCAGCGCCAAAGTTATTTTGCAAAAGGAAAAGAGACAGTATACGAAGACAGGCAAGTATTAATTAATTTCTGTTAAATCCAAAGGGATGCAGAAGAGACCATGTGCTGTGATAGCAGATGACACTGTCATCTCGTTTCTTACCCCAGTGTACTTACCAATCTTGTTACTGCTGGTATGCACTACTTCTGGATCTTCAGCTGTTTGTTGCTTGAGCCTTTGAAGATACTTATCAGCCAAATATATAAAAACTGAAAAGTTAAAAAAAAAAAAAGTATGTGATAGTATGCTTTAAAAAAAAGTCTTCATATCAATAAAAATATCCTTATGCCCAAAATATGCTTGGTGACGGACCCTTATATGTCTAAGTGTATAAATGACCTAAGATTCTTAATAGTCTGCAACTTATATGAGAATTTTCAGAACCTTTATAAGTCATTTACTTACAGTTGTAAATACCAACTCATTTAGAATAGATAAGAAAAAAAATGTTTTTGTGTATGTAGAAAATCTGTAGAAATTTTGCTTTCCGATTTGAAAGATATTAATGGTGGAGAAACAAGAAGTTTATTTCTAAGTTTCTCTGATTAAAGAAATAAAGGAACAAAAAAAAATCAGTCAGAGACAGAATTTCATGCTTATTCAAAACTACTCCACAAATGATAGGGGCTGAAGCATAAATGTTATGAAATTAAATATATATATTAACAAATGATACTCAGGAGTTGGTATCACCAGTAGAAAAGAAGGCTGCAACAGATCCCATTTTAAAATACAGTTTAACTATTAATGAAACTATTAAATAGTTACCTTAATTATTTATTAGCTATCATGACCTAAGCTGTTTAGCAATTGCCTCTTGTAGCAACTGAGGTTTCCCTGTGGTGCACTTCTGCAGCTCGGTGCCTGCTGACAGGCAGCAGCGCCTGCGGGCCCTGCAGCTCCGGCTGCGGAACCGCCCCGGGGGGAGGAGGCACCG